GCTTAATTCAATGGACCAGTACCTTGAGGATGCTACGAGCCACTTAAGGCTGGGAACAAACCATCTCTGTGGCGGGGGGTGGTGGGGATGCAGGTGCCCACACCCAGCCAGGCTTCTTTGAAAAGGCAGCCGCTTTTATGGATTAAAAGGGTCTGGTTGCCAAGTGGAGAGTCTCTTAGCTGGGGAGACCGAGAGGTAGGCAGTAGCACGGGAAGAAAAGAGCTAAGGAAGGGATTGGGGGGGGGGCGACCCACCCCCGCGTAGATAGTGGAATGAGCGCATGAGAGCTGCAGTACAGTGCCTGCATCTCCCTTTCATTTGGAAATCTGACATCAAGGCTCTGCCCACTTTTTCCCCTCCTTCCAGATGCACCCCCTCCGCTTTCAGATAGACATCAGTGTCCAAAACTGCCTCTTTTCCTGTGGCGTGTTGCAGTTGGTGGTGCTGGCATTCTTTCTCTATAGGTGTGTGTATTTGGACAGAAATGGAATGAAAACGTTTGAGAGAAGCTTTTCATTGCCAGGTGACAAAGCATTCTTGGCATCTTGGAAGCTCCTGCCCTCATTTTAGCAAGACAAAAAGCCTTTAGCCCCTAATAGTGTGTGTGTGTGTGGGGGGAGTAAGGACCTATTCCAATATTTCCTCTTTCCTGGCCCTGAAAGCCCCTGTAGGCTCTCCCCTTCTCCTGCTTCCTTCTCTCCTTCCCACCCCCCAGCCAACCTACCTTTATCTGCCCACTGTCTTCAACTTTCCTTCCTTCCCTCCTCTCGGCAGCCTCTACCCAGGTAAACTATGGCCAAATCATGGTGCCAGTCAACAGGCCCTGTTAAACAGCGGGGAACCTGCAAGGACTTGTGGACCCCAGGGCATCTGACTTTCTTACATATCACCCTCTCCCAACTATTTCCTCTTCCCCTCCTCCTGGCAGTCCCTGTATCCAGAACTTTCTGTGTTTTCTTCAATCCTTCCTACCTACTTGCAACCAATGCTCCCTCTAAGCTGTGGAGTCTTGTGAGCAAAAATTCTACTTTGTGAGCTACTGGCGTTAAAGTAGTGAGCGAGCGATTTGGCTACTGCATGAATTAGTTTGCTCTGGAGCCACCCTTCCTGAGCTAAGACAAAAACGTGTGAGCCGGAGGCTGAAAAACTGTGAGCTAGCTCACACTAACTCAGCTTAGAGGGAACACTGCTTGCAACCACACTTTTATCCACCCCCCTATCTTCAGCTATGTTTTTTATTTATTTACGTAATTTATATCCTGCCCTTCTCCACAATGGGGACTGAAAACATGAGGGCATCATTCCCCTCTCTTCCATTGTGTCATTACAGCTCTGTGAGGTAGGGTAGGCTGCAAGTGTGTGACTGGCCCAAAGGCACCCAATGAGCTTCCCACAGCAGAGTGGAGATTTGAATCCGGGTCTCTCAGATCTTAATTTGAAACTCTGACTGTTACACTACGCTGGCTTGTATGGAGTGACTGCAGGCAGCAGGGCCTGAGTAAGTCATGCAAGCTTCGGCTGGAAGTAAGTTGGCACAGGACGTAGCTGATCACAGCCCTGCGGAACTGTCCAGGGTCCCATAGGGCCTTGATCTCACCAGGGAGCTAATTCCAATAGGTCGGAGCTGCCAAAGAGAATGTCCTAGTCCTGGTCGATGTCAAACTGGCGTTCTTGGGACCAGGGAGGGCCAAGCAGTTTTGTGACCCTGATCGCAGTGCTCTCTGGGAAACATGCGGGGAAAGGTGGTACCTCAGATAGGCAGGTCCCTCACCATAAAGGGCTTTAAAGGTCAAAACCAGCACCTTGAAACGAATCCGGTATGCTATTGGCACTCAGTGCAGTGTCTTTAGCACGGGCTGGATGTGCTCCCACAAAGTGAGACCCATCAACAGCCTGGCCGCCGCATTTTGCACCAGCTGCAGCTTCCGGAGTTGCACCAAGGGCAGCCCCATGTAGAGATCTGAGGCCAGATCATTGTGTTTGAGGAAGGGAATCAACTGCTTAATCAGCTAAAGATGGTAAAAAGCTGCCTTGGCAGTGGCTGTTACCTGGGCCTCCATTGTGATGGCACTGATGTTGTTGAAGAGTAGCTAGGGACACAAAAGCAGGCACCTCTGTCTGTTAAAGCGAAAGGGATGGTGGTTGAAACCCTGATGTGATTTAGATGAAGGTCCAAGCATCCTCTCTGTGGGCCTAGTGCAAACTTGTAACTTGCACGCACCCTGTCTGGTGATCTCATCCTACAGTTTCATTGGGGCTATGGGTTGGGGAAGTGTGACGAGGGCATTGATGGTGTAGAAGCCAATGTGGGATAGGTATGGAGTCAGATTTGGAAGGGCCAGGGTTCAAATCCTCATTCTGCCATGAAGCTGTCTGGGAAATCTTGGGTCAGTCTTTCCATCTAACCTCCTTTGTAGGGTTGATGTGAAGACAAAATGAATTAGCATGTATACCCCACGCTGAGCTCGACAGGAGCAGGATAAAAAGCCAGTTTGGTGTAGTGGTTAAGTGCACGGACTCTAATCTGGGAGAACTGGGTTTGATTCCCCACTCCTCCACTTGCAGCTGCTAGATGACCCTGGGCAAGCCATAGTTCTGTCAGAGTTGTTCTCTCAAGGACAGTTCTGGAAAGAGCTCTCTCAGCCCTGCCTACCTCACAGGGTGTCTGTTGTAGGGAGGGGAAGGGGAAGGAGTTTGTAAGCTGCTCTGAGACTCTGAGTGAAGGGCGGGGTATAAATCCAATCTCTTCTTCTTCATCATCTACACTAGATAGGTAGATAGGCACTTAATTCTTGAGCACTGCTTCAGATGTGTCAGCTAACTACAGGACATTCCCTAGGAGAATTTTTCTCTGCTGTAGTAACACTGGATTCTGAGTTCACAGTGTTATTAATCACAATCCAGATGACAATCTGCCCAGCCCATTGTTTTCCTCTTCGTTCTCCCAGGTCTTTCACAAGTTGGTTTGTGGAAATGTACTTGACTTTAAGGGCGATTCGTGGAAGTGTCACCTTTGCAGACTATTGCGGTGCTCTTTTCTCATCCAGCCAGGAGGAGGCGTTCGCTGAGGTTAGTCATGGCCTCACAAAATATCACATGTATCTTAGCAGGACCTGCATTTCCACTTGGCCACACCTTTCCAACCTTATCTAACCACTTTGCAGTCTATCTCAGCAACAGCTGTGCTAACCTGGGTTGCAAGAGCTGCCATGACCACTGTAGTTAAAAGCCCAGTGGTTTTCCCCCAGGTAAATTTGGCTACACACCTTCAAATCTACAGAGCTAATAATTAAAACTGCAGGTGGTTCCTATTGCTTCATTCACATTTTTATTGTTGGGTGCTTATGGACCTCATCAGTGACAAATGGTTGAATTCCTACTCTCTTCCTTCCTTCCTATATTTGTACAAATCCTTTTTGCACAAGAGTAGGAAAAAGTGTGTAGCGTCTTACTACGTGGGTTCATAAGCATGCATATGTAACCCGCTGGGTTAAAAAAAGGAGTTACCCACAGGAGATTCTGTGCAATACCTGCATGGACCCGTTTGATGTAGTGGTTAAGTGTGCGGACTATAATCTGAGAGAACTGGGTTTGATTCCCCACTCCTCCACTTGCACCTGCTGGATGACCTTGGGCAAGCCATAGATCTGACAAGAACTGTCATTGAAAAAGAGCAGTTTCTGTCAGAGCTCTCTGAGCCCCGCCTACCGGTGTCTGTTGTGGGGAGGGGAAGGGAAAGGAGTTTGTAAGCTGCTCTGAGACACCTTTGGGTAGTGAAGGGCGGGGTATAAATCCAATCTCTTCTTCTTCTTCTAACCATAAAGATTCCTAGCAGCACTTGTGTGTTACCCGTTTAGAAAAAAAAGGGGACTAGACTTATCTGATCCTGCCCACAGGTGACATCAGAGAGTCCCCATCCAACATGGCTTACCTCTTTCTACAGTTGCCATTTAGATGAAAAATTTGGGGTGTCGATGACTGATACAAGGCAATCCTGACCAAGGTGTGAAAAAACCCTCTTTCTGGTTACAGCAAGCGGACTCTCACTCAGAAGCGCAACAAGGCTGTTATATGGAACAGGTCAACCTTGGAAGTCTCTGATAACCAAAATCAAGAACAAGGAGTGGGGGTGGGGAACCCCACAGGACAGTTTGACGAATCTTTGTCCAACATATCTGTTCATAGTACACTGGAAGTAAACAAACAGAGCTTGTTGTGCAACCTTGGGCAAGCTACATTCTCTCAGCCTGACCTACCTTGCAGGGCTGTTGCAAAGCCATCTGTTTGAATATATGCCTACTGCCCTAGAAGGGGCTTGGAGGGAGGGCAGGATGCACTTGTATAAGAAGGGCAGACAAGCAGAGTTCAGGGCTCCACCCCCCCCCCCAAATCTCCAGGTATTGCCCGGTAGCCCAGAGCTGGCAACCCTAATCTCACCCCTTTCCACAGGGAGACCTTCCATCCCACTCCTTAGTCCCTTTGTGGTAGGGCAGAACTAGGGTTGCCAGGTCTGGGTTGGAAAATACCTGGAGACTTTGGGGGTGGAGAGGGCGGAGTTTGGGGAGGGGAGGGACCCCAGCATGGTACAATGCCATAGAGTCCAACTTTTAAAGCAGCCATTTTCTCCAGGGGAGCTGGTCTGTATCAGCTGGAGATCAGTCGTAAAAGCGGGAGCTCTCCAGGCCTTGCCTGGAGGCTGGCAGCCCTAGGCAGCAGGAGTCCTAGTCCCTGCCTTCCCCCAGCATCGGTGCAATTTGGTGGAAGAAGGTTCCCCCCTCCTCTGCGGCGGCTGCTGCATTGCCATGGAAACAGCATGTAGGCGACAGCAGCCGCATCACTCTCCCTCCGATCACGTGACTGGGAAGATGCTCGCAGGAGGCCCTTTTGTCCAAAAGAAAGACAGAAAAACCCGCCTTCTCTTCTGTCCCCCTCCCTTCCCAGTCGTTCTTGGGGCGGAGTTAAACCCGGAAGAGGCGGATTTTGGAGAGGCAGAAGAAGCGGTGGGGAGAAGCAGGGAGGAGGCGCCGGCGGCATTGACCGAGTCGCAGCTGGGAAGAGCGCAGGTGTTTTGGTCTTCATTCTCTTTCTGGGACCCGGGACTTTCCCCCGGCTTCTCTTGGCTCTCCATCCTTTGCTTCCCTGCAAACCCTCTTGAGACCCAGGCGTCCCGGTTCCTGCTTATTCCCTTTTCCCTATTGCAGCTGGAATTCTTCTCCTTAATTAGTGCGCTCTCCTGGTTGTGTGAGAAACCCGGGCGTCCGGGGGTCTCGGCTGTCCTTTCCAACCCCCACCCCCCACCCCGCAGGTTGTGGCTGGACTCTGACTAGGCAGACTTTTTAATCCCCCAATTCAGCTGAAATTGTAGTTTAGGTTCCTTCAGGCCCCCCCCCGTGTCGCCCCCCCCCAAACTGGGCCCCAGGTGTTCACTTTTGGAGGCCAGTGAGATTTGAGACCAGGAGTTCAGCACCTTAGAGGCCAACGGGGGGTATCAGGGTAAAACATGCTAGTCTTGCCTTTTCTCCCCCCCTTCCTTATCAGGGCTTTTAACTTTGCTTTTTGTCCTTCCCCATTAGAGTTAAATTCTTAAATGTGTGTAGGTGGCTTTTTGGCACCCCCTCTCAATTTTAGCTGGACCCCTGAGAGTTAACTATCCTATTTCCTTCCCTCCCCGTCCCCCAAATAATGGCTGGAGCCCCCTCCCCAAATGCCCTGGCTCCTTATTCCAGCTTGAAGCTGGAGAGTATGTGCCCAAGTACAACCCCCCCTCCCCTCCCCTCCCCAGTTTACCTTTTCGTTTGCTTAATTTAGGAATTCTGGCATTGAGAAATTTTGCTTCATGGAAAATGGGGGCCAGAATACAGCAGCGCAGACAGAGCAGACAAATGCCTTTCTGCTTCCTTTGCCCCTGCTTATCTTCCAATGCATAATTCTCTCTCCCTGCCGCACCACCATTGTTTTGAGGAAGAGTATCTAGGACAGAGCCCTGAGCTGAATAGCCCAGGCTCGCCTAAGTCTTGGAAGCCAAGCAGGGTCAGTTAGTATTGGGACAGGAGACCACCAAGGAAGCCCAGTGTTGCCACTCAGAGGCAGGCAATGGCAACCTTACCTCTGAAGGTCTCTTGCCTTCAAAACCCGACAGGGTCGCCATAAGTCAGCTGTGACTTGATGGCATTTTCCTCCACCACAACCGTCTAGAGCAGTTGGATCAGGCCAGGGCATTTTGTGGTTAGCGACTTGGTTGTGCCCCTTTAAAAAGAAAACTTTCTCTTAATTGGGGATGGATTCCTGACTAGAATGAAGTGCCTTATTATCTGTAATTGAGTTTTAATTGCCACTGCATTTATCACAGGATGTGCTGGAGATAACTTTGGAGCAGAGAACCAGGCAGATGTGTTTCTGTTTCCTTTCTCATCCCCCACCCCCCAACAGGAAAAAGGTTCTGAGAATGTTTGTTCTGGTTGGCTGTTAATCCAGAATCTCCCCCACCCCCCAGGAGAAATGCCAGAGTTTGTCATTCCCCTCTTCTCCCACCCCCTTGCTCTAACAAGCCATGCTTGATTAGTTCCCCGAATTGGAAGTATTCCTTATCTAACCTTTCTCTGGAGCTCTCTATAACCCAACAAATCCCTCATGGGCCTGCTCTGGGCCTCCTCCTTACCCTCCTCTCACTTGGCATCTCTTGAGTCAGTTCTCTTCTTGACCACTTGTGTCTGGGGTTATGGTTTCCATGTGTGCTTGGAGCACTGCTAACCCTGGCTGGGGATTATTTTCTTGTCTCCTCCAGGGCCCCTCTATCGCCTGGGGATGCTGAGACAGCAGAGTGCCTGGTTCCCAAGGGGCTGGTGAGCTCGGCAAAGCAACTCCGCCTGCCTGCCATGCTCTGGAGTCATTGACTTCTGGGCCGTCCGGTATCTCTTGATGGATATAAACAGCCTCCAGAAAGGCAAGAGGCGTCGACGGCGTGGCATGCGGACCAGGAGCCAGAGTCTCTTCCCTGAGTAGGAGGCCCTGTCGTTGCAACCCAGCCGGGATTCAAGGGGAACTCCTTTGCTCGCCTCTGTGTTGCATAAGAAATTGCTGCTCCATTCCGGTCTCCTCCCAGTGCCATAGAGAAGCATTTGTTGCCCAGCACGTTCCTCCATCGGGCCATTCCTTGCTTCCCTGGATCCTGGTCTGTTGCCGTCTTCTGCCGGTGCCATGGCGGGCAGCACCGGCCCCCTCCTTCTTTGGGCCCAGGACGTGGCCACGCTGCTGATCCTCCGGGTCCGCCGCACCGTCCTGCAGACGGCCATTTTGCTTTGTGTCTTACTGCTGCTCCTCTGGGTCTCCATCTTCCTCTACGGCAGCTTCTACTACTCCTATATGCCAACGGTCAGCTACGTCAGCCCCGTACACTACCAGTTCAGGTCAGTGGCTCAGATAGGAAATGTGGGTGGATGAAGAGGTCAAGATTGGTATCGGACTACAGTAGTGGCCATCTGCTGTGAATGGCCCCTTTGCAAAGGCATGCCACTTCGAGAGCCAGTTTGGTGTAGTGGTTAAGAACGGCAGACTCTGATCTGGGAGAGCCGGGTTTGATTCCCCACTCCTCCACATGCAGCCAGCTGGGTGACCTTGGGTCAGTCACAGTTCTCTCAGAGCCGTCCTCTCAGGAGCAGTTCTCAGAGCTCTCTCAGCCCCACCTACCTCACAGTGTGTCTGTTGTGGGGAGAGGAAAGGAAGGTGATGGTAAGTTGCTCTGAGACTCCAATTGAAGAGCAGGCTATAAATCCAACTCTTCTCCTTTTTTTGTGGCCTTTTAGTTCCACTTGTTCTCAATCTGTAGTCTCCTAACTGAAGAGAACTTGTCACTGAACTGATGGTAGGCTGTAGCCTGCAGACACGTGTACCAAAATAAGTTTTCCGACTCCCCCTTTTTTTTTTTTTGCTGTTATTCGCTCTCCCATCTTCCCCCTTTGGAATTTAATTTCCAGACTTTTGAGTGACTTTTAGATATGATGTCTATTCCCACCCCTTGAATTTTTATTTTTTTTTGCTGTCAAGTTGCAGCTGACTTATGGAGACCTTGCGGGGTTTTCATAGGCAAGAGAGGTTCAGAGGTGGTTTGCCGTTGCCCGCCTCTCTGTCATGACCCTGGAATGCCATCCAAGTACTAGCCTGGGCCTGCCCTGCTTGGCTTCTGAGATCTGATGAGATTGGGGTAGCCTGGGCTATCCCAGTTGGGGCTCTTCAGTAATACTTTTAGTCTGTGCGTGAATAAGAATCGTGTACCCTGCAGGAAGCCCACGCATTGTCTTTCTGAAAAGTCACTGTTCTGGGCGTATTCCACTATTGGAATTTTGATGGGTCTCTTATGTTGGGTTTGCACTTGAGGCTGACCAATGACCTGCCCCTGATGGAGGCTGATTGGACAACTGCAAAGCCAGCCAGAGCAATGAATCTTGCATTCCTCCTCTGTGGATAGGTTGGTGCACGGGAGTTCTTTTTCGTTTTTGTAGTTCATTACTATAAATGCATTTGAGGGCTTATGGGAGGAAGGGTTGAGCTAGGAAGGGTGGACGTTCCGGCTGTATGTGTGCACGCATGGCTTGGAGGCTGAAGTTTAACTGCGGTGGTAAATCTCTGCCTGGGCTGTACTGCTTCAAATGGATTTTGATGGGTCTCTTATGTTGGGTTTGCACCTGAGGCTGACCAATGACCTTCCCCGGATGGAGGCTGATTGGACAACTGCAAAGCCAGCCAGAGCAATAAATCTTGCATTCCTTCTCTGTGGATAGGTTGGTGCATGGGAGTTCTTTTTGGTTTTTTGGTTCATTACTATAAATGCAGTTGAGGGCTTATGGGAGGAAGGGTTGAGCTAGGAAGGGTTGAGCTAGGAAAGTTGGACGTTCCGGCTGTATGTGTGCACGCACGCCTTGGAGGCTGAAGTTTAACTGCGGTGGTAAATCTCTGCCTGGGCTGTACTGCTTCAAATGGCAAGTCTTTGCTCCGTGGTTAAATGCTCCTGCATCCTTTATTGAAAACCATTTTTAAAAAAATTCTTGCACGCAGAAAACTGATGCCCCAGGAAGTAGTGTTCTAGCAACATTTTCTAGCAGTGTGGGACTAAAAACTATTGGAATGGAGGACGTGAAGGTGCCTTATATTGAATCAGACCCTTGGTCTGTCAAACCCTCTATTGTCACTAGCGTGGTGTGGATAAGGGTGTTGGACTTAGTATCCTGGAGACCTGGGTTTGAATCCCTGCTTGTGCCATGGAAGTTCACTGGGTGACCTTGGGCCAGTCATACTCTGGCCGCCTAACTTACCACCCGGGGCTGTTGTGAGAATAAAATGGAGGACAGGAGACTGATGTAAGTTGCCTTTGGTCCCCAGTGGGGAGAAAGGCATGGTACAGATGAAGTAAATAAGTAGTAATAAATTATCTACCATGGCCAGCAGTGTCTCTCCAGTGTCTCCAGAGAGCCAGTTTGGTGCAGCGGTTAGGAGCACCGACTTGAATCTGGGAGAACCAGGTTTTATTCCCCACTTCTTCACATGCAGCTGCTGGGTAACTTTGGGTCACTTACAAGTTCCTTCAGAGCTCTTCTCTCATGAGCAGTCCTCGAAAGAGCTCTCTCAGCCCCACCTACCTCACAGGGTGTTTGCTGTGAGGAGAGGAAGGGAAAGGAGATTGTAAGCCTCTCTGAGACTCCAAGTGAAGGGCGGGGTATAAATCCAGTCTCTTCTTCTTTTTGGGTCAGGGTCCTTTCATATCATCTACCATCTGGTCCTTTCTAACTGAAAATTTCAAGGTTTTAATTGGGGACCTTCTGCAACCCAAGCTATATGCTCTACCACTAATATTCCCCCCTCCTAAAGTCTGGAGTGAAGCAGCCGACATGTGGGCTTACCACCGTAGTGAGAAGAACCGTGCTAGAGCCTATTGGGTGTTCAGGGAGGGGTGGGCGTCTTCTTGAGAGACAATGGAATCACCCTAAAATGTTGGGACCTGACTTTGATCTTGGGGGGGTCCTCTCACTTTTTCCAGGTCAGATTGTAGTGCGTCTGGACCAGAACTGTGCTCTTTTCCTGTCGCCAATGTGTCCTTCCTCAGGAATAGCCGTGACCGGGTAAGTGGCCACTGTCGGAATGTTTCATGCTTGGGACCAAGGGTTGACTGTTGTTGACGTGATGAATTCTTCAGGCCTTTGGTCCATTGAGCTTGGTATTATCTGCCCTGATGGCCAGCAGCACTCTTGGGAGAAGGATTTTTCTCAATACCTACTGCTAGGTATCGTTTTTAGGGGTTTTAGGTGGTCAGGAACTGAACCCCAAGATATTCCCGTGTACCAAGTGTGCCCTCTTCCACTGCATTAATTAACTCAAACTGCTGAAGAGGTGGTGATTAGGAAGGGTTATGCAGAGCTAATACAATCTCCTCCTCCAAAGCAGCATTTGGAAATATGTGTTTTGAGAGGGTTTATCTTCATGTTAGGGATTATTGGGAAAGGGATTGAAAATAAAATGGCCGATATTGTAGTGCCCCTATATAGATCGACAATGTGGGCTCATTTGGAATACTGTGTACAGTTCTGGTTACTGTATCTCAAAATGTAGTGATGGGATTAGGTAGACTCATGGAACAGTGGCTACTAGCTGTGGTGACTGAAGGGAACTTCCATGTTCAGAGACAGTCAACCTCTGAGTCCCAGTGCCAGAAGGCAATGTCATGGAAAGGCCTTGGCCTCTATGGTTATTGTTGGCCTTTGAGGAACTGGTTGGCCACTGCGTGATACAAGATACTGGACTAGATGGACCACTGATCTGATCTGGCAGGCTCTTATTATGTTCTCATGCAAATTTTGAAAAAACTGGGGAAGAAGTGCCACCATCTACCATCTTTTTTT